GCGGATTGAATTTTGTTCCATCATAAAACGGACGGAACCAATTCAATATATTGTAGACTAGTAATCCTATATATATCAGTGCTAACATTTGAAAACGGCACAAAAGCCATTTGTAAACAAATGGTTTGTGGGCCCTTTACTCACTACTTGAAGTACACCCACGCGACACAACAGCAACCCCAACAAACAATTTGAGTTGATCAACAGCTGAATAAGCTATGTTTAAGCTGAAGAAGCTTGTTTTTGCCTGAATAAGCTTTTATTCAACATGCAATGTTTGTTGGGACATCGGGTAGGGGAAATTTTCCCCTTCCTGACGATGCTGTTGGTTTGCGTGGGCGTTCTTCGGGTAGCGAGTAAAGGGCCCACAAACCATTTGTTTACAAATGGCTTTTGCGCCGTTTTCAAATGTTAGCACTGATATATACGTAGCCTATAGCTCATACCGTAGTAGGCTGTGTATAAAAGAAAATGATTCACTTAGTTTGACAGTTGCACCATGACGAAGTGGCAGCGTATTGGTGATTTGTCCAAGGCGCAAAAGTCGCAAAAAGACATTTCAATCACCGTGAGAGTGTCCCGGTGGACCGTCAAAAGGGTTTTAGACCGAGAAAGGAAAGGACAACTATCCGCGAAGGTGGCCACAGGTCGTCCGAGGTCAGCTCGGATTCCGAGGGTTATCGCTGCTATCAAAAGGAAGATTCGGGTAAATCCAATGCGTTCAATAAGGAAAATGGCAAAGGAACACGGGATCAGTGACTTTACGGCACGGAAGTTCGTAAAGGAAAATTGCGGGGCGAAGTCGAGGGCACGGAAAAAAATTCACATGATTACCAACCGCATCCGGGAGCTACAAGTCAAACGATGCAAGAAAATCTTGAACTTCCTTAAGCGAAAAAATCCGGTAATCCTGTTCACCGACGGGAGCAGGTTTACCGTCGATCCCGTATCAAATTCCAGGACCGACCGGTATATTAGTTATCTTCCGGTAAAAGACGTGGCCGACGAGCACAAGAACGTGTATCTGACCAAGCATCCTGCTAGCGTTATGGTGTTTGGATTCGTGGCTTCCGATGGCAAAAAAATGGACCCGGTGTTCATTCCAGAAGGTGATTTTAAGTAAGTATGTTCTTCCGTGGATCAAAGAACAGTACGGTCCGAAGCCAAATGTTGTATTTCAACAAGATGGGGCTCCGTGCCACACCTCGAACCGTACTCAGAAGAGGTTGCAGGAACATCTTCCGTTCTGGGCGAAGGATATGTGGCCGCCATCTAGCCCCGATCTTAATCCGCTGGATTACTCAATATGGCGCGTCATGAAGGCCAAGGCCTGTTCCAAACGCCACCCGAGTACAGCAAGCCTCAGACATGCATTGACCCGTACCTGGAGAGAAATGGATCCAGACTACATTATTACAACCTGCCGTGCATTCCGGAAGCGTGTAGAGGCCGTAATTGCAGCAAGTGGAAACTCGATCGATGATTAACATAGTTTAAGACTCTGAGAAACATCCCTTCTTTGAATAAATAAAAAAACTCAAAAACGAAATTTTTGATATTTTTTTTAAATTTTGACATTGCAATGGTGCAAACATTATAACGCATACAGTCATTAAATAGCAAAACGATGTAGTGGTTCTCAAAATTTCGTAACAATTGGTAGTTTTGTTCCTTATCGAAAAATATTAGACCTGTATTTTTTTTATTTTCTCATTAGGGTGGTCCAAAAAATCGATTTTTTTTCTAATTTTTCCAAAAATTGCATTTTTTTTAAAAATCATAACTTTTGAACAATTGAACTGGTTTGAATGATCAAAATATCAAATGAAAGGTTATCAAAAGTACTTTTCAGAAAAAAAAATATAAAACATTTTGAAAATTTGAGTTTTGTATAGAAGAACTTTGATTGTATTTGTTTTTTATAGTTTTAGTTTATAGTAGACAATGGGCGTAACACGTTTTTATATTTTTTGAAAACTTAGGCTTTTCTACACAACATATAATAAAAATAAGCGATGTTTTTGAGCTACGATTTCGTTTTTCAGTTACGATTTTTTGATATATATATATATATATATATATATAAAGGAGAAATGGATGTAATGTCGGCCTAAATGCCCCTAATTTGGGTCCATAAATAAATTCAGCAATCGACTAAATTTTCAATAGTGACCAAAAATATCCATCCAACGACGCGTTCATCTAGATAAAATTGATAAATAGCATATTTTTAGCGATGGGCCCAATCTTAGAGCCATTTCCCCTAAATAGATTTGCCGAAGCAGCCATCTTGAGCCAATCAAGCAGCGAAAACTGTCAAAATGTGAGCCAAACGAGTATGTTTATCGTTTTCCAGAATATTTCAGTTGAAAAATATTGTAATCGGGGCGTAATAAATTCAACCAAAAAGTTTATTTTTTTCATATCTGCTGCTGAGTACAGTAGGCATGGCGGAACTGTCCGTATTATTAGTAGAATACCTTTTCTGTGGAGATTGAGGCACAATTAGCACGATGCCTCGGAAATGTGTAACGGAAAATTGGCAATGTATGAAAATTCATTGCTCAGTAATTTATCGATCGATTTTAAATCTATTGATACGATTGATCTATAGATATTTTTAAAGTATTTAGTTTCAAATGGCGTCAATAGATTTGAGATTCGTTAATAAATTGGTTAATATATGAGCTATGGTTTTTCAAACATTGTTAGTTTGCCTTTACACATTTTACCGGAGGCATTGTGTTCGGAGTGTTAACAGAGACCATCGCTGCTTGGCAGAGAATGAAAGAGACAAATCTCAATGAACATTTCAAATGGTCTTATCTTCTTCGATCGATTCTATTAATCGACTTTCTCTTCTAATAACCACTGCTAAGCAAACAGATTTCGCGCTAATTTTATCACATAGTTTGATAGAGGAGGTTCTTATCTAAGTTTTTGCAGCTGAGTTATTGACGATAGAGAAAGTCGGCGAAGAGAATCGATGAATGCAGACAGGACCTTCTGAAATGATTAATTAGAAAAAAAAAATCAAATTAATGCCTGGTGTTTATTTTCGTCGTCAATTCACGGAATGGTTTTCACACAACATGCATTTGGTCTTGGTGAACCGAAATCGCTTCAAGCAGCTTCAGAAGATTCCCACATTCTTTAGCAAAATAAAATTGCATGTGCTAGAAGTGCTTCTTCCAGCATTAAATCGTAACAAGACACCATCTAAAAAATATCATTATAACATACCCTGCACAAACGCATTATATCCTTGGCAGTCGACGGTAGTTCGCATAACTCTAGCCATTTTTTGCAAAGTTCAGCGTTTTCCGAAAATCAAAAAAAAAAAACTCACATTGTACATTTTCACGACCGCGGTTCAGGGCAAAACTTGGCAATGCACTTTATATTCAATAAATGTTATTCTAAATTCAAGGAAAAATAGTTCACCAGTTCACTGTGAATTAAAAAAAACATAAACAAACAAAATCGTAGCGTAGACAACGATCAAGTCACGCACAAAGCTGGAACATTTGACTCCGTGGCAAGTGTTGGCAGCTTTAGTAAACAAAAAAAAAATCACGTTGCCAAATCGTCTGATAATACTTCCGCGAATCTCTGTTTATAGGATTACTATTGTAGAATAACAATTGAAAAGGTACTGTAAACTTTTATAAACAAAACGTTGATTATTATTTCCTCGCCAATCGAACGCAATTTGCCAGCATCATCGGATAGGGGAAACTTTTCCCAACCCAAAGATGGTATTAGTTTGCGTATGCAAGCCTTGAGTCACGAGAAAAGGGTTTCCGAAGTTTTTTTTTCGTAATCATGTAAGTAAACCACTGGAATACGATAGGATGATTTTTTCTAGTGTAGCTTTCTATATTTCAAAGATTTCCTCAGACATTTAAACTCAATAACCACGATTGTAAATTACGACGTTTTCTACGAAAAAAAAAATATATCAACCAAAGTCAACCATTATGATAAATCATGACAATGTAAGAATATTTTTTCAAATATAACATTCTTCCTTCTAGAGGAAGTAAATAGTGCGACTTGGTCGCTTTTCTCACATTTGTTTTTGGTTTTTCTTTCCTTTCCATTTTCTGACTGTTTTATCACCACACCTTCTTCATTTCGTTGCCAATCTTTTTTGTTTGGTTTTAGTGTCTTTTTCTTCTTATTCTTTTTCTTCTTCTTCTTCAACAGTCCTCTTCTGCTCGCCTACCGCTATCTGTACACGATCATTTGAGAAGCACGGGATTGTGTAGCTATATTCCACTGACTCTTTCTGCTTTCTATTGGTTTACTTTAGGTTGGCGGAATGTCGTCGTGCTTTTCACTGACTGTCGTCACCTTTCTTCGCTGCACCGCATCCGGTAGGCCATTTTGAAATTTTTCCCGCTTCGATTTCGACAATGTACATTGAGTTTTGGGTTGCGTTCGTTTTTGCGATTGTGTCACTAGTTAGCAGGGTTTCCGTTTGTTTTTAATAGCTTAGTTTAGGATCTATAGAAAAAGAGTTTAAGAATTTATTTTGGTTTTAAATTTAATTGTTGTGCTTTTCTTTAGTTTACTTAGCTAGTATTTATTCATTTCCAGATTTTTGGTAGTAAATGCATCTTTTCTCTTCGAACTGTTCATCTTTCCACCATGGTCACTACATTTTTACTTTAATATTAAGAGTTTGAATTTGTTAAAAACCACTTTGTTCAATTAACTACTAAATACTAGAGATTGAATTTCTTTACTTAAACTATTATCTCTCACACACGTTCTCACTGTGTCTTAAGACTTAAATCTTTGCTTAACGATCGTTTGTTGCTACGGTTGGTACCCCTGAGTGGGTACCTAATATTGTTTGAAAGGGTTTGTGTTCATTATTTTTTATTTTTAGTAAAAAGCCTCTTGGGTTTGCCGTTTTTGAGGGAAATGCGGTGGTGGCGAAGGAATGGGGAGGGGGTGGGGAGAGGACGTAGGGAGGGGACTTAGATCCAATATTATACATCATCCTCGAGGCATTTGGTCGGCGTTGGCGAGTTCGCTTGCGAGGGAGCCGGGGGCAGCTGCAACGGGGGCATTTGGCTCAGGGCGACCGCCATTTGCTGCTGTTGGAACATTTGCGTTTGGATTGGGGGTAATATCATCTTCTGCTGCATCGTCATTGAGTTAATGGCATGGGTTAATTGATCTAATTTCTTATCCATCACAGATAGTTGCTGCTCGACGCGGTACAGCCGAGCGCCGACGGTCATCGGTTTGATGTTACCGACCCGATCGATCCCGGTCAGGTAGCTGCCCGGCTTGCCCAAGGTCTGGTCCAACCGCCGCTGCAGCTCCTTAATGCGGACCATCATGTTCAGGTGGCCCTGGGAGTACTGTTCGATCACATCGCGGACGTCGTACGGTTTGCGGGCCTGCTGGAATTTGCGCCGAGCGACGAAGTACTTGATTTTTCGGATGGCACGGATTGCATTCCGGTGCGCCTCCGTCAGTCTGCGAATGAAGAAGAAAAGAACAGGAACAAGTTTGGTTGAGAATGGTGCAGTTACTGCTATGAAGAAGATTATCATTAAAAAAAAAATAGCTTTCAACAATCAAGTAAAAGAACTTTATTTAAAGAATAATTATTTGATATCAGAAGCTCAGAAGTGCCCGACACTTCGTCGACTGTTGCTCGTCGAACTACATTCGGCGAAGCGACGGGTAGTGGAAAAACTTCAAAAATGCGTAAAATGATCGGTCATTAAAAAAGATCACACTACTGGGTAATGGGTTCGATTCCAAGTCCGGTTGAAACCAATTTTAACTGGCAGTATTCTCGGCAAACTCGGGCTTGTCACGACAAACAGAGCTTGTCACACAATTCATCGGCCCTTATTACCAATGTCACTTCACGGTGAAGTGACAACTTATTACTCACGGTGAAGTGATTCCCATTTGATTTACACGGCAATCACTTCACCGTGAGTGATAACTGGTCACTTCACTTCGTTTTCACTTTGAAATGACACTCGTCATAAGGCCCATGAGCTACATATTTTCATTGGTCAATTTTTATGTGGAATTAGTCATAATGCACAAATGCACATGAAATTCAGCTGGAAAAGAACGAATATGCAATGGTAGGCTCAGAAAGCTCTCAATTAAAGATTGTTGAGAACAGGCACAACTTCTAGAAGGAACTTAAAAATAAGAAGAAGAAGAGCGATCAAGCTAACAGTATTCAGTTAAGTGGCGTAGATATTTCAGTAGTACATTGCTTTGTAGTAGTTAAAAGTGATCACATTCCGATAATAGGAAACTTTTTGCAAAATAGACTTAACAAATTTAGCTAATGACTAAAATGATATTCTAAGACTAGAAGGTCCCGGAATAACGTGCTCAACTTTTTGGCTCAGCTCTGGTACTCCCTTCGGTCCCAAGCTAATCGATTCAACCCTCGAAACATAGGAAAATCCAATAAACCCTCATTTTATCTGTCAAACTTTCATAGCGAATCAAAACACCTTGTGTAGTACTGGAATTTTGACTAGAATGGAGTACGTTAATCGATTTGCTTGGGACCAATAGGCTAGTCAAGTTAGTTTCGTATTGATTGTTGCTTATATTGTTAATAGTACACGAGCGCCCTGACGAACCAGGCTGATCGTAAAAAGCACTTATTCGAAAAGAGCGCCGAACGAGCCTCTTCTACTCGTGACTCGTGACTTTCAGCTAGGGGTTTCAATACCGGGTGGTTTCTACTAAATAGACCGGTATATCAGTGTTAAACAGAAGTACTGTGGCTGTAGTTTTTCGATTGTGTTATTGCGCAATGGTGATAAGGTTCTATTAGTTCCAAGCCCCGTATACGATAATTTATTCTAATTGAATTAGTTCTTGAAATCGTAATTTGTGTGTTTCTCTCACATTCTCTTTTATTACCCGGTATGACCGCGATCGCACGTGATCTATTGTTTGGTTGGTGTGATGAACTAAGCTTTTGTTTCCGTGAGTTTGGTGTGTTTTTAAGAGAATAGATACCACAAACAAGTTCGATCTTGCAGTCCTTGACATTGGCTCATAGTTGATTGCAGCGAATGACCGAGATTAGTGATGATAATTCCAGCCTAGCAAAAATGGAAAGTTAATCATACCCTAAAATTTTAGATTTTAAACATTGGCTAGAGGGACATATGCGTGTAATGGTAGTCATTCTACATTTCTTGATCGAATATAAAGAAGGTACAATCTTTGATTTAGGCTTGGTTTGGCGAGTTCGTTCCAGTAGAAAAATATTCTGATACATTTATTTTCAATGGTATTGATTTCCTTTTGTTGCCTTGCGGAATACCTTCGATTGCATGTGATTTTCCGGGAACCTTGGTTAGGTCGAGTCAATGGTTGTGAGGTGGAAGAGTGGCACATGGCCTAGGCGGTCCGACGAATTGAGAAAGACAAACACGTTTTAAAGCGCAAAGAGTAGTTCCACGTGAAAAAGTTAGGGGAAATGGCGGCTTCGGCAATACCTTATTCAATTATCGTCAGGGGGTTAACAAAGTCCTAGAGCACTCAAATTTGGTCAATAGATGCTCAAGGATGCTGTTTACCTCCTGACAATAATTGAATAAGGTATTGCCGAAGCCGTCATTTACCCTTTATGACCAGAATTGAGTCTTTCCGATTTAAATGAAATTTTATCTGTGTTTTGACAGGGAGGTAAAAAATATTTTGAACATTTAGACTCAAGCACGAAATTTTAAAAGAGCGTATGAGCTTGATTTTTTGGCGTGAAAAAAAATACACTAAAATAAATAATTGACCTTTTTTTAAATTGTTTTCTTACAAAAAATAAGTCTATTAGTGACTTTTAAACATAATTCTGAGATGCTGCAAATTGTATTAACAGATAAAACTACGGATAGAAATAGTTTCAAAAGGCATTTCCTGAAGAAGATGTTTTTTTTTTATAATCCATTTATTTGTCAAGGCTCAAATGCGTTAGCTTTGCGGAGCCGAATATTCTTTACATAATTGTGTGTGAATATAATTTTCTTACAACTAATGTTAGTAGAACGGAGGCCGATTACTCGCGGTTTACTCGAGATTAGGGATTACATTTATTTATCATTTGGAGGGAGGACAAGGGAAAGCATTTTGAACTAATTTAAAACTTAAACGTAAAGGATGACTAAAACACAAAACATAAAACACATACATCAACAGCTTTAAGAAAGTCGTAAATAAGCTTCATAAAGTCGATATCACGGCAAGCCAAGACGTCTCTAATTGGCTTAAAGGGTTGTTTTCCTCGGACCCTAAGGGAATCACACAGAACGGATCTCGCCTCATGATACAAGGAGCAGGACCAAACAACATGCTCGATGTCGTGATAACCATTTCCACAGGTACATAAGTTGCTGTCGGCGAGCGTAATACGGAAGAGGTGGGCGTTTAACGAACAGTGATTGGACATGAGTCTGGACATTACACGAATAAAATCACGACTCATATCGAACCCTTTGAACCAGGGTTTGATCGACACCTGTGGGACAATAGAATGTAGCCATCTTCCCAGATCACCATCATTCCACTTTTGTTGCCAGTTGGCGAGGACTTGCTGACGAGAAATCGTGAAAAATTCGGGGTAGGCGATTTGTCGCTCGAAAATATCGCCTTCCATAGCGCCCACCTTGGCCAGCGAGTCCGCTTTCTCATTGCCCGGGATAGAGCAATGAGAAGGGACCCATACCAAGGTGATGATATGCGAGCTGTTTGATAAAGCACTCAATGACGATCGTATTTCCTGGAGGAAATACGCTGAGTGTTTTATCGGCCTCATTGAACGCATAGCCTCCAGGGAGCTTAGGCTATCCGTAAAAATGAAATAATGGTCAGGTGGAAGTGGGGTAATACGCTCTAACGTATACGATATAGCTGCTAGTTCAGCAACGTATACCGAACACGGCTTTTGAAGCTTGTATGAGGCGCTATGAAGATCGTGAAATACTCCAAAACCAGTGGACGCATTTATCACCGACCCATCTGTGAAAAATCTCTTCTCGGTGGGGACGTGGCGGTATTTGTTCGCAAAAATAGTTGGGACAATCAGGGAACGGTGAGGCTCTGGAATTCCTTGAATCTCCTGCCTCATTGTGAGATCGAATCTCACGGAAGAACAACTGAAATGATGGGAGACAGCGCGATTGGGGTTGAACGAGGAGGAGCCGATGTCCAGAGTCATGTACTAGTAGTACAAGCTCATGAATTGTGTTTGAGGATTCCGCTCTAGCAGCTCCTCAAAGTTTTCGATCACCAGCGGGTTCATGACTTCACAGCGGATGAGGAACCGGAACGATAAATCCGCAAAACGATTTGTTAAGGGGAGGACGCCCGCAAGAACTTCAAGACTCATGGTATGCGTCGATTGCATACAACCTAGCGCGATTCGAATGCAACGATATTGAATCCTTTGGAGCTTCAATATGTGCGTCCCCGCCGCCGATTGAAAGCAAAAGCTACCGTACTCCAAAATCGAGAGAATGGTGGTCTTGTAGAGTCTTATCAGATCTTCCGGATGGGCTCCCCATGAAGTGCCGGTAATGGAACGAAGGAAATTGATTCGCTGTTGGCATCTCTGCCTCAGATACGCTATGTGTTTCCCAAGTGCACTTGGAATCGAACTAGACACCTAAATACTTAAACGACATGCTGTGAGTGATTGTTCTACCCATAAGTTGAAGCTGAAACTGTGCTGGATAAAGCTTCCTAGAAAAAAACAACCATCTCTGTTTTCTCCGGAGAGAATTCGATACCCAGATTCATTGCCCAAGTAGACAAATTATCCAAGGTATCTTGCAATGGTCCTTGCAGGTCCGGTGCTGTTGGTCCAACCATGGAAACCACGCCGTCATCTGCAAGCTGCCTTAGCGTGCAATTTTCGGCCAGTCATTCATCAATGTCTTTGACATAGAAATTGTACAGGAGGGGACTTAAACATGAGCCTTGTGGAAGACCCATGTAGCTGATTCGTGCAATTTCTGAGTTGCCATGAGAGAAGCTCATTCGTTTCTCGGACAACAAATTAAACAGGAAATTGTTGATAATCGGAGAAAGCCCACTCGCATGGAGTTTGTCCGAAAGGATGTCGATGCAAACAGAATCAAATACCCCTTTAATGTCCAAGAAAACTGAACCCATCTGCTGTTTTTCAGCATAGGCTGATTGGATTTCAGTTGAAAGCAACGCAAGGCAGTCGTTCGTCCCTTTGCCCCTACGGAATCCAAATTGCGTATCTGAGAGTAAGCCATTCGCCTCGACCCACTTGTCCAGACGAAGAAGAATCATTTTTTCTATTAGCTTCTGAATACACAACACCATCGCGATGGGACGGTACGAATTATGATCCGACGCGGGTTTACCGGGCTTCTGGATGGCGATAACTCTCACTTGTCTCCAGTCATCCGGAACAACGTTGAGCTCAAGGAATCGATTGAACAAGTTCAACAATCACC